AAATTATTGTGGGGGTCATAACCCCCCTACCCCCCCTGCAAATTACGCCTATGTGTATAACAGAGACAGGGGTGATGGAGTTACCTTTAATCCAGGCAGGAGAAGGAATATAGGTGCAGATTTTCAGCAGTGGAGGTTTGCGTTGCTGTCTCCTGCCCAGGACTTGAACCCACAGTTTTAGTGAGATGGCCAAGTCCAGAGAAGTAACCACAAGTGCTCTGCTCGCACACTAAAGTCTGGCCTCTCCTTTCAACAACCATACTGTGGTCCAGTGACCAGAAAAATGACTAAATATAAACACCATGCAATTTTCAATTCAAAGCTGCTATCGCACTCCAATTTTTTTCTTCTTCCCAATTTGACCTGAGAAAGTCATCTAGAAGCAGATAACACAAACTAGGCAACATTTGAATCTTATAAATTTGTACATAATTGTTATTATACATGTATAACACCGTTCCTGTGTTTGTGACCACAGACTCCAAATCAAACACTAGGAATTACAGTCATCCACCTCCATAGATTTGGGGTCTTCCTGTGAAGGCATGTGACATTAAAGCACACCTGAAGCACCGACGCGAAACCACAACAGTAATCTTGAGTTCCTGGCCGGCGTGCAGAGGATGCATTCCTTCAAAAAGGAGCCCTCTGCTGTGACAGCCCCTCAAAATGCAGAGGGCAGAAAAACCTCAACTCTGCATGACAATGTGCACAGGAATTCAAACGGAGAAATCTGTATTTTAAAGCATTTTGTGTAACGTCTCATTTAATCTAGCTTCTCATTATGGGATGGGGAAAAAATGCAGGAAAACAATGGTCCGCCAAACTGAAACTGGTCAAGTAGCAGCCCAGAACTGGAGTCCTACTGAGAGCAGATCACAGATCTGATGATGTGTTGAAAAAAATTGTGATTAATCTACAGAATCAGCTAATGTTCAGTAACAACAGTACAGATGATCCAACTGAACAGAAGCAAAACATTTTCTTGCAGAAAATAATTTTAACTCAAGTTTGAGGAAACAATGGTTAGGAATCTTTACAGCAGCATCACTGAGGTGCTAACCTAATCCAACTCAAATTACCATCAGATCTCCCATCTCAAGGTTTTAGGAACTGACAGCAGCAGCACAAAAACAGCACATACCAGCGATCTGGACTCCCTTACCCTGTGTTAAATCAGACTGACCTGCTCTATAAAGGTTGAGCTGGACTCAGGTTTGTCATTAATGGCGTCTCCTATAAGTGTCATCAAACTACTGAAACCACGTCTCACTAACAAGACACTTCACCTCATCTTTGGTACAGTTCTTCAGATCATGCAGGTCACCTTCCATCTGAACTCAGACCATTTGACTAAACGAGTTTCCACTCTGCCAGCTTCTACCAGCGAAAAGGATCTCCATCATTCAGGTCAGAGTGAGTGGACAGCTCAATGACAGACAGGCTTGTGGTCAATGTGATCCATCTTCTGTTCAAAGACCAAGTAACAGATCTGATCTGACAGAATGAAGACACATTAAAATTCAATTTACGTGTCAGACTAAGATTGGCCAATAGAACCTCAGAGGCCATCTGTATTTGTATAAAAATGTGTTTGAAGCCACAAGGTCAGACTAGAAGTCAGAAACTAACAAAAGGTTTGAGCTCTCAGAGACTGGATTCTCTCTGCTTCTTCTCTCCAACATAAAATAAAATTGAACATTTGAAAATATTCAGAGACACCCTGAAGTTTGAGTACAAGACAAACAGAGCAGTTGATGCTGTCCTTGATGTAAACATCAACTTTTACCTGTGCCACCCAGGTGAAAAAATATTATACCAACTTTATCTAAGTATACTCGAAGCCGCACTAATCAGAGTGCTATTTTGGAACAACTAATTTAATACTAAATATACTTTAGTTGTACAAAAGCACAATTTTAAGTGTATTAAGTATACTTTTAAATACTAAAATGGAACAACTTCAAATATACTTAGTACACTTTAAGTGTATAGATAAAGCTATAAACTTAAAGTGTACTACGWATATTTTKATACATACTGATGATTAGTGCAGCTTCAGATGTATTAAAGTATACTTAGATTYAGTATACTTAGTATAACATTTTTTCGCCCAGGCACCTTTCAAAATAAAACAAATCCCATTATTCTCTTATATCATGGCTGTGAGGTTCTGACGTGGTGAAAACTGACCTGACAGCTGTTTGGGCTGAATGCTGAAGCCCAGCAACATTTTATAACAGCTTGTTACTTCATGATCCATTAGCAGTGTTTGGTAGCCTTAGTGACCACTAACCCGTTCAAGGTAATTATTAATTTAAAGGTGTTACCCTTTAACTCAGCCAAAGCCTAAAAACAACAGAACCAAGGTGTGGAAAGAATGATGAGATACCTTGTGTGGGGCTTTCAGCAGCCTGTGGACTCCAGCAATCTGATTGATCAGAGGAATATCCAACCTGAAAGTGTACAGAGGTGGTCTGGTGGGCTCAGGAAAATTGGTGCTATTGAACGGATCAGTATCATCTAAGAACTGCACCCTGCATATAAACGTAGCCATGGTGCATCCATGCAGGGGCAGTTTCAAATGATCCAAACAGTGAAGCCTCTGACAGACTGCKCAGCCCCTTCTCCTCCTCCTCTGCCTCCCTCCGCCGGGGGGCTGCAAACAAGCGGCAGGTCCCCTCTGCAGTGGCGAAACCCCCCCTCACCCCGTGTTTATCCTCGGAGCTTCCCCATTAATTTCTCACGGGCGCCTGATGCGACTGCAGTCCTGAAGTAAATAAGGGTCCGGGAGGGGAACTCTCTCAGAGAGGCAGCCGGTCAGAGCGCGGTGCAGGCGGGCAGCGCGGCAGCGTCCAAGGGCACTGCGGGCGGTTGAGGTGCGGAGGCAGACTGCGGTGCGCGGACCCGACTGCTCCACTTGGCGCTCGGTCTATGATGAGAGCGATGGGGAGGCTCAGAAACTCTCTGCCGGGGGGGGTTGTTTCAGCCAAGTCGCACCTCAGCCGGCCCGAAAGCTACTCAGGTTACAGGCGCACCAGYGACCCCCAGTGGAGATGATGGGAACTGCACAAAACTGAGCTGAAATGATTGCAGTAGTTACAGATAGGCCTACTTTTCGTCCTACAGTTTAGTTTCACAAAGAAGAGCTGCTCTTAGCTTTAATGCAAAATCTGAAGTCTGAAGCACAGAAATCACAGACTGAACTGAACTGATTTCTTACTAAAATTCAAAAAGAAAAGTGCTTTTGGACCAAATTATTTAAAAGTCATGGCAATGAGAGACAGCAGGTTTACATACAGAATATGAACTAACCAAATAACAAGCAACACTGCATTAATAATTAATTTGTAAAGCCACATGTTAGAACAAATTAAGTGAAAATTATGAACTGTTTGAATTGTTTATTTTACATAAATAAAAAATGACCAATTTGCCAAACATTATGTTTGATTAGTTTCTCCAATGGGTTATCAAAAAGCAGTGTTGTATAAAGTACCACAAAGTGATACTTGAGTAAAAGTACAAATATCTTACAAAAAAATTTCTTTGGTAAAAGTTAAAGTCTCCTTTAGGAATATTATTTGATTAAAAGTCTTAAATTATCTGATATTTTTGTACTTAAGTATTAAAAGTAAAAGTATTGATTTTAAAATGAGCAGTTAGATTTTCCGTAATGACATTTATTAGGAGGTGACCTCCCCCCAACAAATACAGAAATGTCTGTCGTCTTAAAATAATTAATTGATGTTAAATTTAGGATGCACTAGTCCAGCTGTTTGAGTTTATATACATATATCAAGGCAGCACAAAGCTTTTCTCCAAAATGAAAATACTGTATATTCAAGGGCTGCAGAGAGATAATTATATTATTGTCAAATGTAATAATATAATTCATGAAATACAAATACTTCTTAAGTACAGTACTTTTATTTTAATGATTATGTCCTGCAGGAGTGTGACATGATTTGTTTGTGTACATACTAATACAGTATCAGAATTTTAAATATTTATACTTCTCATTCAACCACAATTAAATTCACTGTATCTAGGAGGCACAGTTTATATGGATAGTATATATATTTTTTTACAATAACAAGCTGGAATGAAAACAAGCAAAAATGAAATAAAAGTAACAACTTTCTACTTCTTGCCTTTTTTTTTTTTTAAAAAAATGTAAGGAATAGAAAGCAAAAAGTAGGCTGAAAAACACT